TTGAGGATTGACATCCTTTGTATATATATATATATATATATATTTTTTGTGTAACACCCCCTTTGCTTTCGAATAAATATGATCTATCTTCTTTCTCAATGGTCTATGACCGGCCGAGTCTTATGGAAAGAACTTTTTGAGATTTTGTGCATTCCAGGTCCTCGGCAGGGACTGGCTTTCCGTTGTGGCGAGCCGGAACGCGCCGGTTCCGATGACTTCGGTCACCCGATAGGGGCCTTCCCAACTGGGGGCTAGCTTGCCTCTTTGTCGGGTCGGGTCACTGACCTCAGCCCGCCGCAGGACCAGGTCGCCCAATCTGATAGGTCGAGGTCTTACCTTTCGGTTGTAGACCCTCGCGACCGCCCTCTTGTAGGAGAGGGCTCTTACATGTGCGTCTGCACGTCGCTCTTCCAGTAAGTCAAGGGCGGCTCGGAGTCCTTCATCCGAGGTTTCCTCGTCGTAGCCTTTCGTCCTGAGGGTGGCAATGGCTATCTCGGGGGGAAGTACCACCTCGGTTCCGAATGCGAGGCTGTACGGAGATTCTCCCGTTGCTGTTTTTGGTGTGGTGCGCAGCGCCCATAGCACACTCGGGAGCTCGTCCGTCCAGGTCGTCCGAGCCGCGGATACTCTTCTCTTGAGCCCGTCCAGGATGGACCGGTTGGTCACTTCCGTTAGCCCGTTCGTTTGGGGGTGAGCGACCGAACTGTACTTCAGTTGGACTCCGTGTCTTGCGCAGAACTCCCGAAATCTCTGGCTGGAGAACTGGGGCCCATTATCCGTAATGATGGTTTTGGGCAGGCCGAAACGGGTGATCAAGTTTTTCCAGACGAACTTCTCTACTTGCTGCGTCGTGATTTTTGCCAGTGGTTCGGCCTCGACCCACTTCGTGAAGTAATCCACGCCGACGATGAGGAATCTCCGCTGTCCTACGGCTAAGGGAAAGGGCCCGAGGATGTCTAACCCCCATTGCGCAAACGGCCAAGCGCAGTCGATAGGGGCTAGCGGGACTGCCGGGAGCCGAGGTGTGCGGGCGTGCTCTTGGCATGAGATACACTGCTGCACGTGTGTTCTTGCATCCCGGCGCATGGTCGGCCAGTAGTAGCCTTGGCGGAGTATTTAATGCGCTAAGGTCCGCCCACCGATGTGTTCTCTGCAGGCACCCTCATGTATCTCTGTCAGGACGGTTTGCGCCTCGTCGGGCTCCAAGCATCGCAGGAGGGGGTACGAGAAGGATCGCTTGTAGAGCCGCCCGCCCGCCTCGATATACCACGCGTGCGTGCGAAGCAGGCGCCGGGCTGTTGCTTTGTCGGGCGGAAGAATTCCGTCCCGTTTGTAGTGCAGCAGTTCTTGTACCCAGGAGGACGCGCTGCCAGTAGCCACGATCGCGATTTCAAAGGCACGGGCGGGTAGCTCCTCGACCTCCGGCCCGACTTCGGGGGCAGGTTTCGAGGCCAACATAGCCAGCGCGTCAACGCGCTCGTTCTCCGCCCTTAGGACAATAGATAATGTAAAATGATGGAACTTCATGGTTAAGTTCCTCACCTGTGCAAGGTATCTTGCCATGGTCGGGTCGCGAGCCTCATATCCTCCACTGAGTTGCTCGGCCACTAGCTGGGAATCTGTGTGGACACGGAGGGAGTCCACCTGCATCTCGAAGGCAAACCTGAGTCCCGCCAGGAGTGCTTCGTACTCCGCTTCGTTATTAGTGGCGCGGAACCCGAAACGGAGGGAACGCTCGAATGACCGCCCGTCGGGGGCTCGGAGCACCAACCTTGCGCCTGCACCCTTTGAGTTGGCCGATCCGTCGACGTGCAGGACCCAGGCCTCGGGAGGTCGTCCGAGGCTCCCGCTCTCGTCTTGGGTTAATTCCGCGATGAAGTCGGCGACGGACTAGGCTTTGATGGCCGTCCGAGGCACATACTGATTGTCATGTTCGCCGAGCTCTACTGCCCATTTGAGAAGCCGTCCTGCCACATCAAATTTAGACAGGACCAACCGAAGTGGTTGGTCCGTAACTACCTCCATGGGGTGAGCCTGGAAATAGGGGCGCAGTTTCCGGGCGGAGAGCACAAGGGCGAGCGCCAGCTTCTCGATCGGAGGGTATCGTTCCTCCGGGCCGCTGAGGACGTGGCTTGTGTAGTAGACCGAGAGTTGGCCGTTGGAGCTTTCTTTAACCAGGACGGAGCTTACTGCGTGCGGGGAAGCGGCCAGATATATGCTCAGTTTTTCGCCGGGAGTAACCGAGGTGAGCCGCGGGAGGTTGGCCAGGTGTCGTTTTACTTGCTGGAGGGCTTCCTCGCATTCAGTCGTCCATTGGAAGCCCTTCAGGTTTTGCAGTGCCTTGAAGAAGGGGAAACAGCGATCTCCTGACCGAGCGAGGAATCGGGACATGGCGACGAGTTTCCAATTGAGGCGCTGCAAGTCCTTGGTAGTCCGGGGCGATTGCATGTTGATGATTGCCTGGAGCTTCTCTGGGTCGGCGTCGATCCCTCTTTCATGCACGATGAATCCGAGGAATTTTCCTGATGTGACGCCGAAGGCGCATTTCGCGGGGTTGAGCCGCATGCCGACCTGGCGGAGTGTAGCGAAAGCTTCGGCCAAATCAGCCAAGTGAGTCCCGGCTTCTTGGCTCTTTATAATCATGTCGTCGACGTACACCTCCATGTTGCGGCCGATCTGGCGGGCGAATATCCTGTTTACTGCCCTTTGATATGTCGCGCCGGCATTTTTCAGCCCGAAGGGCATGACTTTGTAAAAGTAGACCCCTTGATTGGTGATGAAGGCCATGTGTTCTTGATCTTCAGGTGCCATCCCGATCTGGTTATAGCCCGAGAAGGCGTCCATAAATGACAGGCGGGTGTGGCCTGCCGTGGCGTCAACCAGCTGGTCGACCCTTGGTAGGGGATAACAGTCCTTCGGGCATGCCTTGTTAAGGCTTGTGTAGTCAACGCACATCCTCCAGCTTCCATTTGCTTTTTTGACAAGAACTACATTGGACAGCCATTGCGGGTATCCGGCTTCTTTTATGAAGCCTGCTTTCAAGAGGCGAGTTACTTCTTCTCGTACGGCTGTCTGCCGTTCTGGGGCGTGCCGCCTCAGCTTTTGTTTTACCGGACGAGCTTCGGCGGAGATACTGAGGCGATGTAGGGAGACCCCTGGGTCGACGCCTGGCATGTCAGAGGGTGACCAAGCGAAGACATCAGCGTTTTCTTGTAGGAGGCCGACGAGTTGTTCTCGTTCGTGCTCGGGCAGCTCTAACCCGACCCTAATCGCCCGTTCCGGGCGTCCTTCCTGTAGTGACACAACGACGGTGGTTCCCTTCGGCTCGGCATGGGGAGCCGACCTTTGCATTTCTCGGGGGTCCGTCAACGGTGGTTCGACCTTGGGCTTCTTAGGTAGCGAGACGGCGGTCAAGTAACAGCGCCGGGATTCTCGAGGGCTTCCCGTAGTTTCACCGGTCCCTGTGGAGGTCGGGAACTTCACGGTCTGATAGTAGGTCGAGACGACAGCTCTAACTTTGTTGAGTGTCGGCCGACCAAGGATGGCGTTGTAAGCGGCGGGGAGGTCGATGACCAAGAAGGTGGTCATCGTTGTCTTCGACTTTGGTGGAACTCCCAGGGTCAGGGGCAAGGTAACCGCCCCCAGCGGCGAAACTGAATCACCGGTGAAGCCGGTGAGCGCCGAGGACACCGGCTTCATGCTATCTCTGGGTAGGCCGAGCTTCCGATAGGCGTCGAGGTATAGTATGTCGGCCGAGCTTCCGGTGTCGACCATGATCCTTTGTACCTGCGCGTTAGCGATCCTGGCTGATATCACGAGTGCATCATCGTGTTCGGCCTGTTCATACGCCCTGGCCGGGAAGGTGACACTGGGTCCGGGCGCGTGTCTGGGGGCCTCAGCTGAGGTGGCTCGGGCGTATGCCTTCTTGCGGGCCATGGAGTCTCCACCGGACGCGGGGCCGCCTGATATCACGTCGATACGTCGCTCGACGGGCCCTTCCGGGCGGGGAGAAGATTCTTTGTTCGGGTGGAGATACTGATCGAGGTGCCCCCTGCGGATGAGTTCCTCGATCTGTCTTTTCAACTCCCGGCATTGTTCAGTGTCGTGCCCACGTTGCTGGTGGAAGCGATAGTATTTTGATTGATCTACCAGCGCCCGGGGGTCACTCATCGGGTAGGGTTCTTTGAGCAAACCTTTTCCCCTTATATGAAGGAATATGTCTGTTTGAGATGAATTCAAAGCTGGTAGGGGGGGCCTCGGAGCCGTCGGGTCAGATCTGTCCGACCTGCGCCGAGATGTTGGTGGCTGTTGCTGTCGAGGCGGCTCCGATTTGGTCCCCCTGTGTCCCCTGGGTCTCCCGGCCATCCACGTCTCTGCAGCGACGAATTGGCTCGCCCGTTGAAGCATCTCTGGTACAGTTGTGGGGGGTCGCTCTACCAGGGACCAGAAGAACCTGGAGGGTCGTAAGCCTATCATGAACGCCTGCATCAATAGGGAAGGATGAGCGTCCGAGAGCCCTCGGATCTGCGTCGTGAAACGGTCCAAGAAGTGGGAAAGGGACTCATCTTCCCCTTGGTTGAGTCCGAGGAGTAGCGCCGCGGATGGCTTCGGACGCGCGTAGGCGAGGAAGTTGAGCTCAAAGTCCCGGGCGAGCTGGTCGAAAGAAGAGACGGTTCCTGCCTTGAGGCTGTCGTACCATGCGCGGGCTGGCCCCCTCAAAGTTGTCGGGAATGCCCTGCACATCAGGGCGTCAGAGGTTCCGTACAGCGCCATTTGGGCGCGAAACGCGGCTACGTGGTCCGCGGGGTCGGTGGCGCCGTTGTAGGTGTCCAGGGATGGAAGCCGAAAGTGCGGCGGGATGGCCTGATCTTGTATTTCGGGCGCGAACGGGGATCCTTGGTACCATTCCGTTCCGGGCTCTCCTTTCGACCTGCGAACTTCTTGTTGTACCTCATTCAAACATTGGTTGAAAAGATGCAGCTGCGCCTGCAAGGTGTGGGTTGAGTTCGCAGGTGGCCACTCGGGCTCGGGCGGCTCGACGTGCCCACGGTCTCCTGGTCACCGAGCCGGGTCGCTTGGTTTCGGGGCGACGGAGGAGACCCGGGGGGTGGTGCGTGCTCCCGAGGGGCAGGCTCCTGTTGATGCGAGGGCTGGTACGTTTGCGGGGGCGCCGGCTGGGGGATGAGCGGAACGATGGCTTGCACCACGCCCGCCAGTGCCCTTACTTGGTGGGCGAGGTCGTGGAAGGCCTCGGGGGAAACTGATGGGGGGACGACAGTGGCGTCAGGCGGCGACAAGCCCGGGTCATTGAACATGCGCCAGTATTGCTCCGAAGTCGCAGCGAGACGCCCCTCTTGGGGCTCTTCCCGCGGGGGATGATCTCCCGGGGTCCCGACCGGGTGCGTCCTCGCAGCTGAGGAATCGCCGAGGCGGGTTTGTTGACCAGTCGACATTCCGGGCCCTCCTTCTAGCGCCAAAATGTTACGGTCAGTAACTGTTCAGCCGTGGCCCTGAGGTCGTCGCGGCTCGGTCCGGGTCCGGAAGGTGGTGGTCAAAGGAGGGGGAGTCTCCTCGAGCCCGCTGAGTCTCCAAAGGCGGTGAACTCCGAAGGCTTCGCACCTGCACCAAGGCTGGGTCGGGATGCTCGACCCGACCCCTCCGACGATCAAGTTAGCGAAAGATGCGGAGGGGGTTTTAGGAGGAGGAGAAACCTCCAAGGAGTATTGAGTATGTTGAGAGAGTCCCTTTTTGCTTAGGACTTAGGGGTATTTATAGAGGAGGTTAGCATTACCTGATTTGATCGCCTGCTGGGGTGAGGGGGTACCTCTGATGGCGTCTGACGCGGCTGCTGGGGTCGCGTGGTGGAGCGGTTCGTAGCAGGGTATGGGCGAGGGGCAGGTCATTGTCCGGCCTTGTCGTGGTCAACCATGCGGGGTCGGAGGTCGCCTCTCAACAGTGGGAGTTGTCAGGGCGGGTCTAGTTAGCGTTATTGCTTTGGTCGGGGGTTGTCGTCACGGCGCGTCATCTGGCCATTATTTTCCCTATCACAACATATCTACAGAATCTTGTCCCTGTCGAAGGCAATTTCATGGACAGTAGTGCACTGATAAAGATTGCATATATTTCATGGCCACGAGCAATCCACACTTCCTTGCTGTGACATTAATTGGTGGCTATGACTAGTATTCGACTGAGATCGACTCTTCTAATATCGTCGGCACGAAATGTGGACTCGGCAACTGATCGGCATTGGCGTTTCCGGGCGGTCAACTTGCAACGGTGATCCTGATGTTTCCGCATGAATGCACCATCTTAGAAGGACTACTCTGAATATACAACGATGGACGGACGCAGGCACAGCAGCCACATCTTTTATGGCGACGTGGATCTGTGAGAAGCAGACGAAGAAGGATTTTCGTGGGTGGTTTAGGTTCACATCACTGATATCGATAGTCCAGTGAACAGAAGAGAGATGATAGTTAGGGTAAGATGGCAGCGTTGGGTCTCTTTCCTCAACCATTAAAATGGCACCAATGTTTAACGTGTAAGAAAGTGACTTCATCGATCTACGAAAACGAAGAATTGTTTGAGAAGGCCAGGCTCAATGCTAAAATCCAATTTCAAAATTCCAATCTATAAAATGGAATTAATGTCTATTGCTGCGTAGTCTCGACATCCTTATCCCTGAACTCGAGCTCCGGCTCATGGCGATTTTGGTAGAGTGATTACCCACTCACACCCCCCCTCTAT